GAAATCGGAAGACAAACGATGTCCTAACCCTAACCCTGACCCTAACCGTAACCCTCCACCCTTCATAATTTTGAGAAATAAATATTTTTGGGTTAAACTTGTTTGGACTTATTGTACAAACCTATTTAACATCCACTATTTTAACATGATATTATGGATAGAGTTTAATCCAGTGTTTGCAAGATTCCTTTCACTATTTTTAAATTAATGTCTACATTGCCATGAAGCAATTACGAGTCTCTTGCCTGGGATCTTCCTATTGGTGACCCAATCAAAATGTCCGACTTGGATGTGGGTGGAGTAAATTCGGGGAATCGGGAGCTCCTCGAGCTGATATTTGAGGTCTGGCTTTAGGTCACTTATCTGGAACGTGTGCATCGCCGCCCATTTGTCCCAGTTATTATCTCCAGACATGATAATTGTGCTTTTGATGGTGCAAGTAAACACCATTTGGGGGTTGTCCCCGTTTCCATAGCAACTACCTTTATGTCTGTGTTGTTTTATAAACATTTGGAAAAAAGCTAAAATCATCCACCTCTGGAAAATCCACTGTTTGCTTCCATTTTACCACAGTTTGAGAGTGAGATGTGTCGGTTTTGTTCAGTCGGAGCAGATCCTGAGCATTAGCTAAAGTTTGGGCAGTTGGTTTTCTACAGTTAGCCGTTAGCTGTTAGCAACTGTAACACAAACAAACAAGGATTTTCAGTTAGCTAAACTGATAATTCCTAAACAAACCGAAGGATTCAGTTGACTTTTTTTCCTTTTTTTGTTTTGTTTTGTTTTTTTAAACGTGTTTTGACCACTTGAAGTGTTTGGTTTAGTTTTGCTAGCGGTAAAGTTGTCAACAACAGTCATTCAAGCTAAAGCCGTTAGCAACATCAGTTTATTCTTTGCTACGTCTTCTGTGGACCATTTTAAATCACAATCAGAGAGGCTTCCTGTGATTACAACACAGCTAAAAACGAATTAAAACAGCACTAAAATGGGAAGATGATGCCAAAATGCTGAGATTTTTCCAGTAAATGTCCGAGCTGCAAGAGTTTCCTGTCTGGAAAATACTGAGCTAGATGTTGAACAGCAGAAATGCAAATGTCAGCTTTGTAAACCACCACTTTGTTTTCTAGTTATTAAGAAATTCAAACCGTCTCATCATGAAATCTCACCTTCCTTTTTTTCCTTTTCATTTAGTAAACTAAACTTCCCGGTTTTAACCAAAGCTGTAAAGCTCAATTCTTCAGTAGGAACTCGTTTTTTTATTCAGGCTAATTTCAAGTGAGGCTAACATTATTTCACAGCTGCTGAAAACAGCTAAAGATAACTTAGTAACTAATTTAATCAAACTTTAATATACTTTTTTCTTTTTTTTGGTCCAAGTTCTTTGGCAAGTGATGAAGAAATTTATTCCAAATACACTCTAACTGCCCAGTGAGCTCCTAATTAAGAACTGAGCAGCTATTAAGCTGATTTATACGGTTAGCAGTTAGCTAATTCAAACAGATATAGATGAACTAGCTACTCAATCCATTTGGTTTAAGTTACAACTTAACTTAATTATCTGTTGTTTCCCCACACCATTTAGCCATTGGTGTAGGAAGAAGTTTATTAAAATAAAACTGTTTGGGTAACTGTGAGCTATTTAAGATCTCAATACTTGTTAGCTGGTTAGGAACTGTTACCTTTAAGCTAATGTAGCACGCTAGCTATTGAAAACGGCTAAAACAAAAGGTTACACCTTCATCAAACTCCAAGAATGAGTTGTTTCCCACATAGTTGTGAAAGAAGAAACTGCATTTAGTTTGGTTTAGAGCTCAGACAGTTAAATATTGACTAGGATTTGAACACTGGTTGGCTGATTAGCATTCAAACTAAAACGACTCCAGCTAAACGGGAAGCCTGGACAACATAGATTCAGTCTTCTCTCATTAAGTTTCTCCTCTTTAATTAGTTTGGTTCGATTTTCACGTTTTTGTGTGTTTAATTACTCTGGCAAAAAAAAAACTAGTTTTGGATCCTTCACACTCAGATAAATAAGCTTGTTTGTTTTACAGTTCAAATAAAATTACATATCCAAAAGAATAAAGGCCTTTCCCTGTTTTTCTATATAAATAAAGCCATAAATACAGTGTGTGTGCTCTATGTCGGCCATCTCTGGTCCCAAATTATTCTTTTGAAGGACGACAACTGTAACTGATAGCCAGATATTAGTCAATTTTTTGGGTAAGTTGTCAGCTTAATAACCTTCTTTTTTCATAGTAAAAATCTAATTTAATGTTGGTGGTTTTCCTGAGCAGGTCGCCTGGCTGAGCCCCTTTTTTTGTCCTCAAATTGTGAAGACTCAGTTGTTACCAACCTGTCAAGCCCTGATAACCCGGATTCCCCGCAAAAATTTTTCCAAACCAGGTTCCTTCCCTTCGTCCTGCTGACCTCCTGCCCCCCCCCCCTGCGGGCAGCCAATCGGGGGTCAGCGTCCCGTTCTG